TGCCGGCGGTTTGCAGGGAGCTCCAAGTCCCTCCAGCCGGGCTCACAGCAGGGTATTTCCTGCCTCTTTGGGCTGTCACACAATTAGTGTGACATGATCAAGGGAACTATAGCTTGAAACCAGGAGAGAACGTTTTTTTTCAAGCAATAGGGGAGTTTTGCTCTCCTTTAGTAATCTTCTCAGGAGCATCTCTTAGGGAGAAATCCCTGGGCACGTCACAGAAGTTTGAGCATCCCCACCTTCTTCATCCTTAAAAACCTAATCTCCGTCGATGCTGGCTGGGTAGTTAGTTTAGCTCGTGTTCAGTATGAACTGAAATTGTAAAGCAAAGTTCCTGCTGCTTTGGTGAATGAGCCTGGTATCCCTGGCTCTCCAGCGGTGGGGGCGTCTGAAGGTTATCTCAGCCCCTTCCTCTGCGCTGACCCCTTCCCTGCCGAGTGCTGCCGCCACGGCGTTCAAGGTGTGAAAAAAAAATGGGTGGGTGGGGGGGAGTGTCCTGCAGTACGGCACCAAAACTGTCGCCTGGCCCGTCCCGGTGCCCGGATTGTTGGCGTTTTTAAGGGCAGAATCTTTCAAAGATCCCAGAAGGGTCACAGCTCCTTAGGGGAGGAAAAGGTTAAAAAAGAATCACAAAACTAGTTGTACATCTTGTTGGGTCATGAGCGTCCTTGGAGACGGGCATCTCTCGTGCCACTGGCAATCAAACTGGCTGACCCTGGGTTGTTCTGTCCAGCCACCTCTTGTTTATAAGCAGGATGGTATGCGTTTGTCTAAGGAGATTTAAATTTCCACTAGGTACATTATTTGTAGAACTAAGTGATGTTTGTTCCCTTATAACTCACTGATTTCCCCTGTAATACTTGGTTTTAATACTTGGCTCCGTCAGGTTTGAATCTCTGTAAGGTGAGGCTATTCCTTTGCAACTGCACATTTCCCTTTTCTACCTGATTCTTCACGAATTTGGAAATTCAATTTGTAGAGAGCTTAGCCTTATCCTGATCCTTTCAGGTTTCCTCTTGCTTTATAGCCAATATCATTATCGATTTGATAGGTGGAAGTGATTTGTAACTTACAGGAAGTCTTGCACATACTTTGGTAAACCTCTCTTTTCATCTCCCAAACTACAAATTGCAGACACTAAGCATGCAGTTTGAGGCATTTACACCTCCTATAAACCTTCTAATGTTCTGTAAACATCTTTCAACCCAATTGTTCAAATTAATCCGAGAATTTACTAGCACAGGTCCTGTTTGGGTGCCCGCATAACGCTCAGAAAGGTTGATTACAAATTTAACACTTGTTAGGCACATTAGCAAAGGATCCATCCCCTATCACATAAGGATTATATATGCATCGTCTTGAGAGCACTCACAACTTGACCAAATCCTGCTGGCTGCAAAACTGTTAAGGGATGTTAGAGGCATGGCTGCCTCCTCCAGCAGCCATGGCCAGGTCCCTGCTGCCCAGCCGCCGCAGCCCAGCCCTGGGGACCGAGGTCTCTGCCCAGGCTGCGGGATGCAGCTGCTGCTTTCCCAGTTACAGGTTCTACCAGTAATGAAGCTGAGCACGTATCCCAGAGAGACACACACAGAGAGGACATCATTGACACGTCCGGTCACACAGACTGCAACAGGCAAGGCGTAAGAATTAACGGCACTTACGTACAGGATTCACATAAAACGTAAACACAGCCAGCCAGATCCCCTCCCTCCTCTTCGGCTGGTGGGGATACAAGTTCACTAGTGAAGGTGTGTGCGTGCACACACACACACACACAAATTACTTTCTAGGAGCACAAGCACACGCACATCTGCGTATCCCCCAAGTACTAGCACAGACCCTTCTGTCCTCTCACTGTCCTCGCCTGGATCTTGGCCCTCTTTTAACCCTGCACCACCTGGGGTATAATGTGGGGTGTCTGGCATCACTGGAGGATTGGATACAGGGGTAGGACTGGGGCAGTAGCACCAGGTACTAAGCTTGGGTACAGAGATTTAGGTGCTGCAGCTGAAGTTTTAGAAGGATCCTTATTTTCATTTTTACCTGATTTCTCTTTTTAATTTGTTCTTTCATTTTTGCATTATCATCTTGTAAGCTAGCTACAACAGATTTCTGCTGGCGACTGTTCGTAAGGTAAGCTAATTTGTCTGGGTGAAAGGTTCCCTCGTCTGGAAAATGCAGTTCTGGTTTGGCTTAAGTGTAGCTCTTCCACTGGTGAGCAAGTTGGACTGACCGCCTGACCCCATTTTTTCCTAATTGTGTGCCATAACTGTGGCACATGGAGCCTAACAGGCTTTTAGGATCTGGACAGGAGGAACTTTGACCCATTTTCGCAATTAGTTTTTGACTTTTCTCAGTGAGCGAGTACAAAGCTAAGGCCCGTGCGTGGCAAAGGGACAGAAGGAGAAGTTCGGGCATCCCCAGGAAGGCAGAGCTTTGACTCAAAGCGAAAAGCTTTCAGAGCCTACTCTCGTTCAGCTTATGGATCCTTATGAAACTGAGGGAGCACAAAGCTGAGGCCTGTACATGGCAGTGGGATAGAAGTAGAGGTTTGGCAAAGGGATGGAGGGGAGGAGGTTCAGCAAGGAGGTGAGGAGGTTTGGGTGTGCCCAAGAAGACAGAGCTTTGACTTTATCCCCCCAAAACCTGGACCCAAACAGGAGACGACTTGTCGTCACCCATGGAGTGCCTCTGGAGCACAACCCAAGCTTTCAGAAGTCTCAAACTAAGTCTATTCTCATTTGGCTAAAAAAACCTTTTAATTCTGTTTCCCCTTAATTTTCCCCCCTTCTTTACATTATAAGCACAAACTAAAATAGCATTGAGTTTGCTTACCGCTGATGAGACGGCCAGCCAGGAGACACGGAAGGGGAGAAGACCGCATGCAAGTGAGATTTTTTTGCAATGAGGATCTCTTACCTCTTGCGGTGGTGCCCCATTGGGTCTCCCCACCAGTTCCAGTCTGGGCGCCTCTGTCAATGTGCAGCCATCCTATTTCTGACACCAAACTGTTGGGAAATTTTTATGGTACCCCTCGAGGCAAATTAAACACACGTTTGTGCTTAAATATAAAAGAAAAATCTAATGAACGATGCATTGGGCAGAGTCCTACCGCAATAAGTGGTTTGACACGCCTGCAAAGATGCGTCACAAGCAGATTCCTTAAGTACTCTTGCACCAGCACCAATCCTGAGAGTGGTTGCGTGGGGCACCTCAGCCCAGCCATGGGCCCATCACCCAGCCCAGCTCTGCTGCCCAAAGGTGGCCCCCAAGCTTGGCCCCTCAGTGCTTCTCTTCCAGGGTGGTCTACAAGACAATGCTGAGGCTGTTTCATATCTCATCACCAAGGGAAACTTCACTCCTTTGCAAGGAGTCCTTCTGTCTCCAGCATTCTGTCTTCCAGCCAGTTTAACCCCTTCTTGCAGTTGGGCCTCGCCCTCCGTGCCAGATCAGTCCTCGGTCACAAAATAACACTGCCGAGCATAAACAATAAGCCTGAGTGGTTTAATGCGGTTGGCTTGAAACCAGCATATGAAGGTTCGATTCCTTCCTTTCTTGTACTTGAACAAAGGCAGGTTCCTCAAAGGTGGGGTATGGGGGCGGGCAGCCGTGGGTTCATTCAGTGCTGGTGGCGGTTAGATCTGGTTGTAAGACTTTTCGTTTTGATGAGAAGGCTCCTCAGATGATGAATACTAGTATGACTATGGCTGTTACTGAAATTAGTAAGCCAACAGATGATATAGCGTTTCATAGTGTGTAGGCATCTGGGTAGTCTGAGTATCCTTGTGGTATACGGCTAAGCGAGCGAGTGTGGTGGGAAGGTTAGCTTCATGACTCTGATATGACCTAGAAGTGGGCCTTGGCTCATGTAGAGTTCTAGCCCTAGAACTCGGAAACATATCCTAGCCACCTAACTCTCCAAACCTTCTCTCTCAATCTCGCCAGAGCCCAGCTCTGAAACTGAAAACGTCCAGCGACTGCTCCCACACGGAAGGTGCCAGGGCTCCCAGGTGTTGCTGGCCCGCGCCTTCCCTTGGCAGCGCTTCCACAGCCCCACAGACACGTGTTCTTGCTCTACCACCCAGCCCTCACCCTGACCTCCACTCTTGCTAGAGCCTAGGTCCCGCAAACCCCCCCAGGGTGATCTGGACAGGCATTGGAAAACCCAGCGAATGCCAAGGGGCTCGGTGGAATGCAGCAGGGCTCCACACGGGCATCAGAAAAACCTGGCGAAGGCTCTGGGATACTGTAGAAAACAGCAGGGCCCCGCCAGTGCACGGGCAAAGCCGGGGCCCTGCTTCCCTCTAGTTTCACTGGGGCCTTCGCTGGGCCTCGCCAGGGCCCAGCCGCCCTCCAGAATTTCCTTGGGCCTTCACCGAGCTTTGCCAACGTCCGGGTGGTTCCCTGCTGCACTCAAGAGCGCCCTGGGGCCTTCACCAGGTGAAGCGGAGGTGCAGCCAGCGGCAGCAAAGGTTGGGGCGAGGAAGTGAGGAAGCCTGGCTTGGAAACATTGTTCTGGCAACAAAGGCTCAGTGTTCGCTTCAGCACGGCCCAGGATTTCTCAGCTGTCACCACCACGCTCTTGGGTGGGGCCCAACAACTGGCCGGATCAGGTCCCACAGTGCCACAGGAGCATGGCCCAGCCACAGCCCGTGGACGGCCGCTGCCCCCCTGCCCAAAGCTCGGGGCAGAAATCGACTACCTCTCACCCCTTGCAGGTCCTCGTTGTGCCACCACCTCCCCCATAGGAAAAGCACAAATTGATGCCCAACGCGCAGCCACAGCAGCATTTATTTACAGCCGTGAAGAGAAATCTCACACTGGGGCTTGGAGCTGTCAGGAAAGCTGCTGCAAGGCACCAGGCCTTCTGGGCCCTTCCTTCCCTCTTCCAGTTATTTTATTAATAATGTAGTGATTTATTTTACTGACTGTATGCCCATTAGCTGCTTCTGAAGGCATCCAGGTGCCTCCAGGACTATCCTGGTAAAAGAAAGGCAGGCTTCTTCCACGGTGTTCGTTTTATTACAAAATCCTCAGTACATCAACACACCTCAACCCTTAACAGAGCAACCAGGAAGAACAGAAACACGGCAAGCGACTGCTCACCAAAATACAACAGGGCTTCCTAGAGAACAAGCATTAACGGGGACCTCCCGTGCCCCACCTAGCAAAGCAGCAGCTCCAACAAGCTCTGCCAAAAAGGAGGTCTGCTTTTGTCAGTAGATGGAGCTCCTTCCCACAGCTGTTTCAGCAAGGTGGGCAGCGCTTGGAGGAGGGGGGCCCCGAGGCTTATTCCATTCGAGAAGACTGCAGCAGGCAAAGAGCCGTTTGGCTGAATGGAGTCTGCAGGGGAGCACAAATGCCAGAAACCCTGCGGAGCTGCGCCCCCCCCCCCCAAAAACAAGCTCCTCTGGGTATTAACACGTTCGTATCACAGATGCACTGGCACTACGTCTGCAACGGAGCGAGCGGTCTCTGCTCCGGATATGCAGACAAGGAGGTTTGGCTGTGGGGGTCTGGGATTTTTGGTTGGGGTTTGGTTTTTTTTTTTTCTCGTTTCTTTTTCAAAATGTAGAAGACAACACATCACTGCCGTTGAAGCGGCCAATCCCCTCTTGCCGACAGGGCTGCAGCGTAGCCCAGGCAGCGCTTTGCAGGGGTGACTGTTGCCGATTCCAACCCACCTGCTGTTCAGGGTGGGTTAGCGTTTGTTCTTTCCTGAGCTCTGGGGGTGCTGGTGGCATTTGGCTTTGCTCAGTTCTTTTTGGTCTTGGGGGTGTCATACTTTCTCTTGCTCGAGTACCACAGCAGCAGTGGGATCCCGATGGAGGGCAGGGTCATCACACCAAAAGCTGCCCAGTCCAGCTAGAAGGAGAAATTGTTAGAGAGAAGTCAAAACAAATCATGTACAGATGAGTCTTTTAGCCATCAGATCTTCTACTCTCAAAGCTTCTGGCGCAAATCCCACAGTGCCAGCTCCTTCACAGAGGCAGCTGGGATGAAAACTCTCTGCTTTTTCTGTGATACTCTTCTGGAGCACTGATACAGATTAATTGCAACCCATGTTGGGAGTTTTCCAGGTGACTGTAGCATAAACCCAACACACCACAAACCAGCAAAAAGCCCCTGTGCTGGGTTGCACAGTCGCTGCAGAGCAATTTCAATTACCAACTGAAAGATACTTACAAAGTGAGGGGAGAACCTCCTGTCAAACTCACGCTGAGCCAAGATTCCTCCCTGCCCAGGAGCACTAGTGAAACCAACCTGAAAAAGGCAGGGGTGAGGGGGGAGATAGTATTTGCCACGTTTCCTTCTTGCAACAGAGCCCGGGCAGTATAAGAGTGCAGGGACATGCATCATCTCCTAACAAGCAGCTCGAAGAGCACAGTCAGGTGTATCTATCCGCTGTCGTATTTGGGCAAGGATCCTATAAATAGTCAACTCACCACAACCTGTCCACCCTCCTGTGCCAGGTATGTGATGGTAGCAGAGGTGAAGTTGAAGTAACCAGCTTTGAGAGGCCGCAGAACCACAGTGTGGGACACATTGCTTGCTCTGAGAGCCATAAGTTAAGGAAAATAGTTGCACTTCATCAAAGGAAGAAAAGTGAGGAGATAGGTGAAGAGCAGCCTTGAACCAGGTAGAAAAGTCACTCCTGACGACAGATCCGAGTCCTCTGTGGTTACAGACATCCCGACCCATCCAAGGCTGATCCAGCTGCTCCCCTTTCCCAGGCAGATGAATTGCACAGGGACCTCGCCCTGTTTGCAAGAGACTTTTTTTACACAGCACCTTCAAGGAGAACAGAGGTTTGCATTCAATGGCCTGCCTGGGGTCTGGCAGGCTGGAATTTCAGTGACAACAAACGAAGACAGGAGAGCTACAGGATGCTTAGGGGTAAGAAGGAGCGTTGGGAGAAATTTCAAAACATGAAAAGATACGGAGCAATCCTGTCCCACTTGACATTGAGCATCCCAGAGACGATGCCAAAATCTTCTGGGGGGAAAGAATCATCCGACAGCTCCACATCTAAAGCAGCACTAAATGCAAAAAAGAAAGGGATGAGAAGAGAATCTTAGACTTGGCATTCTGCTCACTGGGGACTGCACCGAGGAGGGATGACAGTCCCATGCTGACAATTCAGCAGCCTGAAGAACCGGTTTTTGAAACACAAAAAGGCACCGATAGAAGATGGGAAGGAGAGTCAAGGTATGTTACAGGGAGACTGCAGAAAGAGGAAGGCAAAGCTGAGAGAAACTGCAAAAAGACAGGAAACCAGATGTGAAAGAGAGCTCACAAAGCTAAGAAAGGGAGGCTGCGTGCATGGGGAGCAGAGTGTCACAAGACACAAAAGTAACTACACCATGCTGGACCAACAGCTAGAGCAGCCACGAGGTGAAAGCAGAAAACAGTGAAAGCAGGGACAACAGAACAGGAAGAAAAAGGCAAATTGCAGAGTCAGACCTTCAAGCACTGCTGGTGAGCTCAGAGTTAGGGGGAGCAAAGGTAACAGCACATCATGGAGCCCAGAAATACTCACACCCTGCAGACACACACACACACACACGTTTGCTCCTGGTCAGTATTAGAAGCCTGGACAAGGCTTACCTGGAGCCAACATTGTAGATGTTGTACTGCAAAGTCAAGTCTTTGCCCTCCACTGCGTATCTGTTTAATAGAGACTTGGAGGCCAGAAGCCTGGCGCCGTCCTCACAGCGGGCCACGGAAAACAGGGCAAACGCAGCGAGAATCAGGAGCTTCATCTAGAAGCAAAAGGAAATGGAATGTCATTGATAATTTAACTGCAAAAGGAACATGAACAGAAGAACTAAACAAGACAATTCAGGCATTCATGTGTAGTGAGACATGAACAGCTGTATACTTAATTTTTGAGGAAAAACTTCTTTACTGAGGAAAAATTTCTTTACTGAAAGAGTAGTTAAACACTGGACCAGGCTGCCCAGGGAAGTGGTTGAGTCACCATCCCTGGAGGTATTTAAAAGACGGGTAGATGAGGCGCTTAGGGACATGGTTTAGTGGGCATGGGGGTGTTGGGTTGACGGTTGGACTCGATGATCTTGGAGGTCTCTTCCAACCTTAATGATTCTATGATTCTATGATTCACAGCAGTATTGGTAAAGGATTATCACAAGCTGGCAGAAAGTTACCCTGGCTCCACACACGTCTGCAACTCCCCCTGAAATACCTGTACGCTTTCCTGCAAGGATGTAAGAAGTGGCACAGTGGTGTTCCAGATGGGCAGGCGTGGAAGAAGAGATGACAGTTTTCTCCCTTTTCAAAGCCCTGGCAAGTATCACGCCCCTTTATCACATCTTAATAATTGGCAAAGGTCTCAGATCACAAAGCCTCTTCTAGTAACTTTCAGAGCCACAGCTTTAGCAATTAACGGTTTCACTAGTTTTAGCAATTAACAGTTAATTGCCATTGCGAAGCATGGCAGCTTTCCAGCACTGTCTTACACAACAGGCTTAGTTCTCCCCCCCATCAAATTCTCTTGTTCTTCTCAGAAAGTACTAGCTCCTCACTTCCAACATTTGTTATTCTTTCCTCTTTCCAGCCACTGAGGTACTACCAACTCCCTCCAGCGGCCTTTTGGTCCCCAGAAGTCCCTGCTTCAGGCCACGTGTCCCACTTTCCCCGAGCCCAGCATCTCTGGAGCTGCCCTGCCGAGAGGGCAAGGAGACCGCACGGTCATTCTATACGCAACCCACTGGGAAACTTGCTAGTGCTTTTAAATGCAAAAACTGCTCACGCGTCAGAGCCTCCGCTCTCTGCGCCAGAGGACCCTTCCTTCCCCTCAGTACTCCCCTGCTGCAGCCTTCACACCAGCACTTCCCCACCCTCGGCTGCTCCTACACATCCACCCAGCCCAGAAGACCCGAAGGTAAGCTCAGGGATGTTGCTCCACGCAAAACAAAGAATCGCCCGGTTTCACCGGCTGCTGCCTGCGGGAGACCCAGACATCAACGCTCCGGCAGCGGACCCCAGCTGGTCCCTCACAGCCCCTCAGAACCCACGGCCCAAACC